TTTTTTTTTTTTTTTTGACAGCTGGAAAAGAAGAATTTTTTTGTTCTAATATTGAATATTTTCCAAAAGAAGAATATAGTCCTGATTTAAAAGATAGTACAATGGCCATTCCATGTAAGTATTTATTATTACAACTTAATATAATTAAAAATAAAAAATTATTATTATTATTTTTATTATATTTCAGACACGGTCACTAAATCCGCAGCCTTTTTTATAGTATCAACATTTTTGCTTTTATTAGGAGAACTTTGTTGTCTATGCGGTCATTTTTCCCGTCAAAGACGTTTATTAACGTTTATATCCGGTGTTATTTTCATCATTTCCGGTTTGCTTATGCTCATTGGTCTTGTTATGTATATTTCAATATTCAAAGCCGAAGTGGGAGGTAAATTGCGTGCCACGTCACAGTTGCAACCAGCCGTATTCACATATAAATACGGTTACAGTTTTATTTTATACGTTTCCGGATTTGTCAGCACGGAAATATCTGGCACTTGTGCCGTTTTTTTATACATATACTGGCATCAAAAAGACTGGAGAAAGAAAGGATATGATACACGTACAAAATTTGTTTCGCCCACCAATGTGTTCGATTTTGATTCAATTTATGGAACTTATCCGCCATTTTGCAAAAAACACAAAACACCTTTCTTGCCTTCGTACGCTAACGAATGTTCTATATCGGATGATATTTTTGAAAAATTTTCACCCAATTTACAACGTCGAGTTTATTTAGAGGGTCAAAATATGTACAATGATGGTGAAAATGAATTTTATCCGCCATTTTGTTTGAAACATTCCGCGTCTTGTAACATGGTTAATGAGCTTATGGGAAATAAAACGGAACCGAAAAAACAAAATAGAAAAGTTGGAACGAGTGATTTCAGTGAAATTTATCCTAATTTTTCGTCCAAACATTATAATAATAAAATAAAATCATCTTATTCTTATGAGTTTGTAGCCAAAAATTATTATCCTAAACTATTGGGGCTAAATGACGAACCTGAAATATCCGATGAATGCTCATCAAGTGTTACTCACGATCATGATTTTATACCTTTTGATTTGGATGATAAAATATCAGTGCCTCCCAATTACAATAATTTTGATAATTTTTTATTAAATAATGAATACATGTACAAAACATTAAGTAAAACAACTCCTGTATGATTTCATTTTTATGTAATTTTGTTAGATATATCAATAATAAACGTTTTGATTTGAAATGAAATGCATATTAAAATTTTTTAACAATAATGTCCTGTGAAATAAATATTATAATTTGATTGAATGAAAACCCATTATTTAAATATTTTTTTAAAATAAAAAGTCATAAATAATCTACTTTAAAAAGTTTAGTGAAAAGAGATATAATATTAATAAAGGATTATTACTTTTTTTTAAAATATCAATGAATTGGTTATGAAATATTTTTCAAAAACTTCTTGGTATCATAAAAGTATTTACAACTACGAAAACTACCTTTTATGAATTTTTAAAATCATTAAATTAAAGTTAAAACTGAAAAAAAAATCAAAATACTTTACATTACCTTAAAAGAAATTTGATTTATTTTATTCCAAAATTAATTTTAACATCACATTCACTGTAATAAACACAAGTTTTTTCGCGCCTCAAACAATTTTAGAAAAAAACATTCATTAGAAAGATAACTCGTCACTGTGAAATTAATATTAACTATTTTTTTTGCACTGGGATATTTTTTTTTAACAACCACAACAATTTTTTAATTTAAATTTAAAAAAAAAAAAAAAAACAAAACTAAAAAAATGCTGACAATATTATACATCAAAGTGAAAAAAAAAAAGTGTAAACAAAATTGATTTATACTACTTCCGGTTTAGCGATATTTAAAAAGTATAAAGCGATATTTCAATATGGTTGTCTGGTAGTTGTGTTAATTAATTTTATTCAATACTAAAGGATTTATTGTAAAATGGCTTCAGCTTTAGAGCAATTTGTTAATAATGTTAGATCTTTATCTGCTTCTGGTAAATATATTTATTAATTTTTTTTGATAATGTATTTGTACTTACTGTAATTATTTGGTCCGGCGTAAATAAATTTTAAGAAAAATATTTATATAAAAAATTTTTCAGGAAGTTACAGAGAACTCAGTGATTTAATTAGTAAGTCTAGTGAAGTTTTGGTATCAAATTCACAACATTTAGATAATGTTTTGGAAACGCTAGATTTACAACAGCACAGTTTAGGTGTTTTGGCTGTTTTATGTGTAAAATTATCTTTGCAATCCCAAAGTCCAGAAGAACAAGAAGCTGTACTTAGTCAAGTTGCGGATTTTATTAATCATTGTAATGGAGATCAAATTAGATTGGCTCCAGATAATTGTTTGTAATTTTAACTAATTGATTTGTAAATTTTCTTCATTTGCCATAAACTTAAGTTTTTTTTATTCTACTCTATAATTTACAGTTGCTGATTTATGTCACTTATACACGCAAACATTAACCAATTTAAAAATGCCAATCAGAGGTATTGAATTAATGAAAAAAGCTATACAGAAAATTCAGCTTAATGATGCTCAACTTACTCCAATTCATGCAGATTTATGCCAGTTATGTTTACTTGCTAAATGTTTCAAGACTGCTTTACCATTTTTAGATACTGATATTACAAGCATTAGTCAGGAGGTATTATTTGATATTAATTCATTAATTTACTTAATTAAAAAAAAAAAAACAAATTTAAGATTAACTTTAATAACTTTTACATTTAGGGGCCACAGTTTGACACTAAATATTTTTTATTGTATTATTATTATGGTGGTATGATATATACTGCACTCAAAAAGTATAGTCAAGCATTATATTTATTTGAAGTAGCTGTTACAACTCCAGCAGTTGCAGTGTCTCATATTATGCTTGAGGCTTACAAAAAGTATATTCTCGTGTCATTAATTTTACAAGGAAAAATTACACCTTTACCTAAGTATACCAGCCATGTTGTCGGAAGGTAAGGAAAATCGACTGATTTTTTTTTTTCTTTGTTAAAAAATTATTTTGTAAGATTTTTTCTCATTAAAAATTAATAATTAATTGCAGGTTTATGAAGCATCTTAGTCAGCCATATCATGAATTGGCAGCGGCTTGCCAATCTAATCAATCTGAAGAAGCCAGAAATATAGTTATTAAAAATCAGTTCATATTTCAAAAGGATAACAATATTGGCTTGACAAAACAGGTGAAATTTTTTTCTAATTGGTTTTTAAAATATCAAATTTTGAATTTTGAAATTCAGTGTATGAAATTTTATCAATATCTTTTTAGGTTTTAGCCAGTTTATACAAAAACAATATTCAAAGATTAACGAAAACATTTTTAACCCTTAGTTTAGCTGATGTCGCATCAAGGGTACAATTGTCAAGTCCTGCTGAAGCGGAAAAATATATTTTGAATATGGTAAGAATAACTAATTTTGAAATATATATGTACCTATACATAAATATAAATATTTATATTTAATGTTGCTTATTTAAAAAACTTACAATGAAATGTAATAGATATTAATTAATAAGTTAAAGGTTGTTATTTTATTATTTACATAGATAGAAGATGGCGAAATATTTGCCACCGTTAATCAGAAAGACGGAATGGTAGTTTTTCACGATGATCCTGAAAAATATAATAGTCCCTATATGTTGAAAATTCTTGAAGAGCAAGTAAGTTTTTCCCTTTTTTTTTTTTTTCAACTTAATTTTTTTATTCACTAAATTCTAAATTTTTAATACTTTTAAAACAAGGTTACTGCTTGCATGGAACTGGATAAAAAAATACAACAAATGGAAGAAGAAATTATGGTGAATCCAAGGTTTGTTAAAAAATCATGCGGGTCACAAGATGAAGATCTCCAAGGAACAAAAATGTCTACTTACTCAATGTAAAATTATTTTTAAAAAACTAAAAACTAAACTAAAATATAAATAAATTAAAAAAAAAAAAATTTTTTTTTAAAATATCGATTTAATTCACTTATTCAACATAAGATTTCATTCATTATGTAATTAATAATGTATACTAAAAAGTTTTAAAGAAACACCTTATGGAAAATACTTTATCGAGTTTATAACGCCATTTATATAATAATAATAATTAAATATTTTTGGCAAAGTTTTTTTTTTTTTTTTTTTTTCAAATAAATTTTAATATTTTGCAATATTTTAGTTCTCTATTTATTTATTTTTTTTTTTTTTAACCTTCATTCATTTATATTAATATTTTTATTTTTTATAGATTTTTTTTAAAATTGTCAATTTTTTATACATTTTTTTATTCCATGCAGTAAAAAAGAAAAACGTTACTACTCGAATAATCGAAAATACGGAAACACGTAAAGTTGCTAAGTTACAACAAAAAAAAAAAAAATAAATACAAATCATAATTAAAATGTCTTATAGGGATTTGAGAAGTGAGTTTATTAAATTTTTATTTCTTTTATTTATTTAATTAGTTTTATATTTTATCAATGCAATTTTTTGTTTCGGTAATATTAATTTCTTTTGGTAATAATTGGCAAAAAAAACTTTTTTTTTTTTTTTTTACAATTTACAGATTTTACTGAAATGATGCAAGAATTAGGATACCCTAGATTAATTTCAATGGAAAATTTTAGAATGCCTAATTTTCCATTAGTGGCAGAAATATTATCTTGGTTAGTTAAAAGGTTCGATCCTGATGCAGACATCCCTTTAGAAATACAAACCGAAAACGAACGGATAGCTTTGATTAAATCAGTAGCACAATTATTAGTATTAAAAGCAAATTTAAAACTCAGTACTAAAAAATTATACCAAGCCGATGGATATGCAGTTAAGGAAATGCTTAAAATTACAACCATGTTGCACGATTCATTGAAAACGACAAATATTAAAAATAAAGAAACTGATGACTTACCCGAAGAATTTATTGTTGCAACTTCCATTAAGCTTCAAGAATTGAAATCAGCCATCCAGTTAGTTGGAAGTATAGTTTCCTCCGGTGCTTCCTTATACGATTTGCTTGGGAAAGAAAAAGAAATAAAAGAAATTCGTAATAACGTAGCTTTTCGTTCTATGGAAATGCCTCAGGTAATGTTTCAAAATATACAACTGGAATCGAACTACTAGAAAGCTAGGTATAGGAGGTTTTCTACTGGGATCGACATTTGCACTAATACCTTAAAGGAGCCTTGAATGATTTGGGGCTGATTCTTAAGAGCGCGATGGTGAAAAAGATTCGTATAAATTTGACAAAAGTAGTATTTCTGAATGAGATCCAGGTTTCTTAATTAGTTTTATAAATGAAAAACTACACCTTATTTTCTTTTTCAATTTCCCGATATTGTTCAAAGAAGCTGAGTGTCTGTATTTTATCCGTTGAACACACACACACACGATGAATACTAAACGAATAATGACAATATGTCAACGTTTTGATGTAGACTTGACACCGCCCCCTCTTAGAGGAGAGGAAAAATACAAGGAAAAATTTCGCGGGTACCGCCGCCATTTTTTTTTTTTAATCACACGTAAATTCAGGAAAACGCGCCCAGGAATTTTACAGGATAATGGCGGCTATAAGTTGAACTCCTGACTTTTTTTCCTGCGAAAGAATTAAATGTTTTGTTACTACCCCCCCAGGTACCATACACGGAAAAAAAAAAAAAATGAGAGAAATTAAACAAATAATTTTCAGGTTGAACAAGCAGTGAAAGAATCCGTTCAAAATGTTTCACACGAAATAGAAAATACTAGAAAATCCATAGAAGGTCTTACATCGAGCAAAGCGAGCCTGGATGCGAAAATAGAAAAAAAAAAATCAGATTTAGATCGGCATACAAAACGTCTTCAAACATTAAAAAAAATTAGGTAAATAATTTAGTGTTAAATGTGAGTCCGCCATTTTAAATATTATATATTTTTCATTCGTTTTTATTATTTCAGACCGGCTTTTATGGAAGAATTTGAAAAATTAGAAGAAGAATTAAAAGAATTATATAATGAATATGTTTTAAAATATAGAAATTTACTTTATTTAGAATGTATTTTAGAACAAACGGAACAATCAGCTCTTAAAAAAATTGATCAAAAACAAGTAAAAATTAAAAATTATTTTTTTAATTAACTAATTGTTGTTTTAATTATTATTAATTTTATTAATTTTATTAATTTTTAGGCCATAACAAGAAAATTAATTGATGAATTAAAACAAGATAATGAATCAATAAAATCAGGAGATTTGGGATCTGAAACATTTGATGATAATATCAAATCTAAAGATAAACAAACCCCTGAAGTATTTAAAAAAACAAGAAAAGGTTAAATAAAATTTTTACAAAACAAAAAAAAAAAAAAAAATTAATTTCATTTTTAAAAACTAATGAATGACACATTTTTAATTTTTAGAATCATTTGAAGAACATGGAAAAAAAAGAAAAGTTTTTGGTAATATGACTGGAATTAATGATTCTGACAGTCCAGATTCTGATTCTGATTTAATATTAGATGGAGATATGACAGTAGATGAAGATGATGAAGATGATATGGAAATTGAAAATCATCCTGTTAAAAATTTTAGCGATGATGATTTTTAATTAAACCTGTTCCCTAATTTCTTATTTTTTTTTTTTTTATATCGACCCCATAATATTATATATTTTCAGTAATCAAATACAATATTTTAAAAATTTTTAAAAAAAATAATTATTATAAATAATTTATATTTATTGCTCTTTTAATTTAATTTAATTTCCATTTAATAAAAATAAATTTTTATAATTTAAAACAAATTATAATAAGAAGAATAATTTACAGAAAAAAAAAAAAAAAAATTTTTTTTTTAGCAATATAACTATTGATAAAACAATAAAAAATAATTTTATTATAATAAAAATTCTTTACTTAAAAATAATAATAATAATAATAATGGTTTGTATTGGCAAAATTATGAGTAAATGTAATAATAATTATTAACTGTAAAATACATTAAATAATAATTATATCCAAATATAATATAATAAAATATATGATGTGATATAATAATAACATATAAAGCTAATTAAAAAAAAAGCACACGATTATATTATGCGATTTCAAATAATAATAATAATAATAATAATAATAATAATAATATAAAAAATAATAAGAGCACAAAAAATTATTTATTTATTTTTTTGTTAACTAACTAATTTAAAGTGAGCAATTATTATTATTATTTTATTAATCGAATCCATGCTCCATGTTTTAAAAAAATGAATTGTAATAAATTTTATTTATAATTTATTGTTCGAAAATATATAAAAATATTTATGACAAAAAAATATTTTTCTTAACTTATTTTTAACGATTTATTTATATGTGACGCCGATTAGAAAATGCTAATTATAATATTGTAAAAATATATTTTTTTTTTTCATTAAAAAAAAAAAAAAAAAAAAGGCACAAAATTCCAGTAAAAAAGCACTTTTAAATACATAAGCATACATAAGGCATTTTTTTTTTTTAGGTAATAAGAACAATTTTAAAAATTTTATTTTTTTTTGAAAAATTTTTTTTTTTTGAATAAAAAACTTTTTTTTAAATTTTTAATTTTTTTTTTTAAAAAAAAAAAAAAAAAAAAAAAAAAAAAAAAAAAATTTAAAATCATTTAAACTTTTAAAACACATCTTTAAGAAATTTACTTTAAAATTCAAAAAAAATTACTCGAAACTAAATTTTTAATTGTTAATATTGTTAATCGTAAAATAAAAAATTATTATCCAGAAATTATATATTTTCCTCATGACTAAATATGAATTGGTTTAATTAAAAATAACTAACAAAAAAAAAAAAATGCAAAACTATTTACATTCGAAAATGCTGAACAATTTGAAATTATTTATAAATACAATGGCTTATTATTATTCCACTATACAGATATTTATTTTATGAATAAATGCCCCCCAAAAAAAAAAAATTTTCTTTATATTATTAAACATTAAAATTAATTTTGGTAACAAAAAATTTTAATAATAATTTTTTTTTTTATCATTTTAAGCAAAAAAACAAAAAAAAAAGTGTAAAAAGAGAAAAAAAAGTGATTTCGCTATTATGAAACTAACCTTAAAAAAAAAAAGTATAGAAAACAGTTAAGTGTTACTGTTTTTAACTTTAAAAAAAAAAAATAAAATCTAAATTTTTATATATAATACTGATTCATTCAAAAAAAAAAAAAAAAAAAAAAAAACTTTTGCGAAAAAATATTTCTTAAAGCAAAATTTTCATTTTAAAAACATTTGAAATTATACAAAAAAATATTGTAAAGACGCTGATTGCTTTCATAAAAAGTTATTTTTAAATACTTTCTTATGTAAATATTTATATAAAAAAAAATAATAATAATAATAATATGCTATAAATTGTATTATGTAAAAAAAAAAATTTTTAAATATGCGAGTTATGACTGAATATTATTATTAATTTGATTGATTTTTACTCACTGGCAAATTAATCTTTCCAATCTTTTTTTATGTCGAAACACCATTCCCATTTGAGGTGTTCATGTTTGTCATCATCTGTGAAAAGTGACTGAACAGTATAAGTACCTCTAGCAATTAAACCTTCAGGAGTTTCCTGGGGTGGTGTAGTGTATGATTGAATTTCAGTCTTAGGTGGATAAGATCCCAACATTTGACTCATCTTATCAACTAGAAATTTTAAAACATTTTTTTTACTTACTTACTTACTTATTCTACTTGATAATTATTTTAAAAAACAAAATATTTATTTCTCAAACTTATTTTTATTTTTTAAAGTAATATCTATAACTAAAAGGACTAAAAAAAAAAAAAAAGAGGGTTCGCATATAATTTAGACATTGAAATTTTTTAGAGTAGGAATACATTTATCATGTTAGACTTACCACATATATCTGCATTGGAAAAGCAATTAGAATAAAATTATAGAAATATTGTGTAGTTATTTTTTAATATTGTTATTAAAAAAAAATTAAGTTTTTTTTACATTACCTGGTACTCCCAACCTTGATGTTTTTTGAACATATTTCAGACCGTGAACGATTTCTCTTTGTACATAAAAGTCAATTCGTATTTTATATGTGACACCTTCTTTAATGACAAATACTTTTTTTTTTAACTCTGACAAATCTCCTGATAAATCTAATTCCATATCATCTCTACCAGCAACACAAAGAACTAGCTTTTTAACAATAACTTTTCTAGGATTATTAGGTTCTGAAAAGAAAAAAGGAATAAATAATTTAAAAGGTGGAATTTTTTGTAATCAGAAGTATATTTAGAAAAATAAAAGGAGGTAAAGAAATCTTACAAAAAAAAAAAAAAAAATTAATGTTTCATTAAAAATAGGCATTAATAAAAAAATCGGTTACAAATAAAATTATATAATAAATTATTGGTTAAAATAAATTATAATTCAGATGTTATTAAAAAGGGTTTACTTAAACTACTCACCAATTTCAATTAAACCTGATTTAGCGGTTCCCAACAAGGCTTCTTTATATTTTTTTAGGCTTTCATCTTCAGTATCAGCAGCCAAAATTTCATCTATAGTTTTCTCCGGAGGAGGTTTGTAATTTGCATCTATTTCATCTTCTACGGGATCTACTGGTTGTTCACCGGACATCTAAAGTGATATAAATAATTATAATTTTAAAATTTTTCAAACTACATCATACATAAAAATAAATTAGTCTACTTTTTTAAAATAGATTATATTTGCTGCCGGAACTTTAAACCCCCCTAGTGGAGAAATATAAATAAAAGTTTAATAAATTCCCGAAATTTTTACTAAATATTATTACAAACCTTTAATGTAACTGAAAAATGAAATGCAGACACTAAAATACTTAATAACCAATTATTATTATTGGTTAACTATAATACAGCTATGAAAAATACCCTGATATTTAAATTATGAGTAATCCCAACGGAAATACTCCTTGCTAAATTGAATCTCAACGTGTCAAAAGAAAATTTCTCAAGATTCAATTTATAAATTTTGTTTAAAAAATTAATTATTTGATTGACAAATAGTTAGTTGATTAGGGTGATTTTAATTTAAATATTTATTTTAATCGAATTAGTTTTATTAGAAAAGTTAATTCGAAAAATAAAAAGACGCAACTTTTTTTGAAAGGTGATAATCGATTGTGCAAGTTGGCAATGATTATACATTTCTGAATTCAGACAAGGGGACGTCTGAATTAGAGTTAAATTTTATCTTCTTGTATTTTTGACATCTTAAAGTAATTTTTTTATTCTTAAAAAATTATAAAACTTTGTACTCGAAATTCATAGTTTAAAGTAAATTTAAAGTGTTGTTAATATGAGTACGGGTCTTTGTTACAAATGTCATCAGTCCGGTCATTTTGCACGCTTATGTCCCCAAGGAGGAGGTGACCGTAGCAGTCGTGGCAATCGTGATGGTGGGAATTTTGGACGTGGTGGAGGCCGTGATAAGTGCTTTAAATGCAACCGATATGGACATTTTGCACGGGAATGCATAGAAGAAAAAGATAGGTTTGTGTGGACTATATTTTTTGTATTGTCATTCAAATGAATTCAATTCGGAACACATGGGATGATCAGTCACATGGTTCGTATTTCAAAAGCCGAAAACACTTTACAATTCATATACTAGTTATCCTTTTTCAAGATATTCTCGCTCTTAATTGAAAAATTATTGGTTTTTTGAATTTTCCCTAAGCTCAAAAGAGTTAATTATATAAACAACTATTGCACCAATCTGTCATACGCAGTTGTTAAAGTGTATATTATAAGTGTAAGATTTCTTTTACAATCATTTTATGCGTAAATATAGATTTTTAAACTAGTTTTTATTACTACACACTTAGGTTTCTATTAAAACAAATGTAAAAAAAAAAAAGTCTCAGTTCAATAAGAATGCAATGCAACAGTAAAGTTTTGGCTTTTGAGTTAAAAAAAAAAAAAAATTATAATGTTTTTTCTAATTTAAAAAAATTTTAATGCATTTTCAGATGTTACCATTGCAATGCAGTTGGTCACATAGCTCGAGATTGCCCTCAGCCATCAAGTGAGCCATCATGTTATAATTGTAACAAGACAGGGCACATAGCTCGCAATTGTCCAGAGGGATCATTAAAATCTTGTTATTCTTGTGGCAAGACAGGTCATATCAGTAGGCACTGTGATCAGCCTGACGATCGTAATAACCGCTAGATTTGAAAACCTGCTTAAGATTCTTAAATTAGTTTAATAAAAGAAAGTTTTTTTTTTTTTTTTTTTTTTTTTGGTTGAATACATGCAGCCATATCTTTTTGGGCCAATATGCCTTGATACACCAATATAAGTATTTTTTAAAAAAAAAAAATTTTAAAAATTATTAATTATGTACTCGAATGATGTCATTTTTAGTTTGAGAGTATGTCAAGTATTATTTAAAAGTGAAAAGATGAGTGGTTTGGTTAATTTCTTGTTAATTAATCAAATTATAGTGATTTTTATTTTTTATTTTGAAATTGAAGTTGAAATGAAAAAAAAAAAAAAAAAAAAAAATATACAATTACAAACTTAAATATAAAAGATTGAAATATATATAATAATAGCTTTCTTCTTTTTTTTTTTTTTTTTTAATTCGGTTAATAGTGTTTAAATATTGTTGTTACAATTTCTTATTATTGTTTTAACAGTAACTATATAATAAGCCAGCCAATCAATTGTGTACAACTTGCATAACTTTTTTTTTTTTTTTTTTATTTAAATTGATTTGACAATGTGTTAGAAGAATAAAATTTACAATAACTTGTTGAATTTTACCTTCAATAATTTAAAATTTATTTTTATATCAAATAGAAATTTTTTTACTTGTTCTGTCTACGATTCTTGTTTAATCATTTGTATGTAAAATTATTACCTAAACATTTAAGGGATATAAAGTTACACAACTTCAAACATATTATTATTATTATCATCATTAAATAATAAATTAATGCAAAGTTGTTTTAATTGTATATTTTTTTAAAAATTTAATAAAAGTCCATTAATAAAGAATAAACTTGAAGTTCAAAATATTCATTTTTTATTTTTAAAAATTTTGCATTTTTTGGTTTTCAATATTATTAATTTTTTTTCAATTAATAATAATAATAATTATCTCATTAATAATTTTGTTGTATTTGATTAAATTATTTAATAATTTAAATTAATATGTGTGTGGACACTCATTATTTATTTTTGATCATCTCAAAACTAATTAATTACATCTTGTCGCTACTAATTTTTTTGTATTTTCAGAATGTTTTTCTTAAACATTAAACATGTGAAATAGAATGAAACAATAGAATGTTTTAAACATTATTATTGATTTATGATAAATATTTTAATATATATATATATATATATATAAATATATATATATGAAATTTTTTTTAAATTTAAGTTATGGGTTGGAATATTCTGTTAAATTTTTTTTATTTTTTATTTTTTTTTTTTTGGTAGAAATATGGTCAATTATATTTATATTGTGTGGAATATGGTAATTTTTAATTCATTTAATAATTTAATATTTAATAAAGAAAAGAAAAGAAAAGGGGAAAAAAAGCCAAAAAAAAAAAAAAAAAAAAAATGGAGAAAAAAAATTTCAATTTTTCAGTTAAAATTTTTCAGTTGTGTTTTGTAATACTTTTTTTTTTTTTTTTTTTTAAATTTAATGCTGAAAGACTGAACAAAAAAAAAAAAAAATTGTTTCTTTTCATTATTATTATTATTATTATTATTATTTGGTTTCTTTTTTTTTTTTAAAATATTGGGAGGTCTGTTATTAAATTGATTTTCATTAAAATTTTTGTATTTCTTAAGCTAGTTTTTTTCTTTTTTTTTTTTTAAATACAATTATGGTAAATATTCATTTTTATTTTTTATTTTTTTTTTTCATTAAATTTTCACGAAAATTTTCATATTTTAAACAAAAAGAAAAGCAAAATTCATCAAAATGTAATTTTTTTTTAATTTTTTATTCAAAAACTGAAGAAAATAAACGATACTATTCAACTTAATTTATTTATTGTTAAAACCTTATTTATAAATTATCATCCCCAAATTTAACCCCATGCATATTGCAAATTTATCAAAATTAATAAAAATTAACAGTTGGAATTTAAATAATATTCGATGAAAGATTTTGTAAAGAGATTAATTATATTTCATTTGCAAAATAATCGAGAAAGAAAATAATTAATCGTTTAAAATTTCAATACAGAGAAAATGTACTTTTTGAATCCATTAAAAATTTTTTTTTGTATTGTCACATCCAATTATCTTAATTATAAAATTTTTAATGGCGATTTGTTAGTTTTGAGTGGAAATTTATAAATGCAATTTATATTTTTAATATTCAACTAAACAGTCAATTATATATTTATAAAAGCCTTTTAATTTGTTTTTTGTTTGAATTAAAATTGATTTCTTAAATAATTTTAACAAAAAAAAAAAAAAAAAAAAAAAAAAAGGATTGACTCAATGTAGCGCCATCTGCTTTTTTTTTTTTTTAACGAGCTTTAATATTTACATAAAATGGCGTGCGATGATAGTGAGAAATTAAATTTGAAAGAAAATTTTGAATGGAATGTCGAAAACGAAATAAAATTATTTGAAGCCATGATTGGACATAAACCAGTTGGTAAGAACTATTAATATTTAATGTATTATTTTTATGAATTGTGTCATTAAATTACAAAAAAAAAAAAAATATAGCTATTGAATATTATTATTTTAGGTATAAATAAACATTTTCACATGGCATGCATAACAGAAAAATTTGAAAGCCTATTAGGAAAACAAATTTCTTCAGATGTTTTATGGCAACATCTTGAGAGTATGTACGATTTGACTGCGTTGGTATGTTATATTTACTTTGAGATATTATAATTATGAATTATTTTATTTTTCCTTTTTTTTCATATGGTTATTTTAGGATAAAAAAGAAACTTTGCCCTTTCCAAATGAACCAGATGAATTTTCTCTACCAGAAGATGAATATTCACATTTGATAAATGAAAAGTTAATGGTTAAAAGTGATCACGATGATACCAAAGATGGCAAGGAAAGTGGATTAAAAAATCAAAAAGAACTAACTCCTGCCAAAGAATCATCGATAAAAAAAGAAAAGAAAAGTGATTCTGATGATTTTTTAAATAATGATGGAGACAAAAAGGATAATTGTGATATGGAAAGTGAAAGTCAAAAAGGAAAATTAGGAAAAGAAATTAAAACGAGAGGGAAAAGAAATGTTAAGGATAAAAAAGTTGACTTGGACTCTTCTAGTAAGGAGCATTTTTTATTAACAGTCAACGAAATTAATATAATAAAAAATACTAATGCCATTATACGCTTTTTTGTAGCCTCTAGCACAGTGAGTAAAAAAGAAGAAAGTTCCTCTAACTATAGTGCAAATAAAAAAGACAAACAAACTGTTGGAAAACGAACGTTAAGGTCAAGAGCAGATGATTCGTTACCAATTAAATCAGTTACACCTCCACCTTCGAAAAGAGCTCGAAGATTTTAAATAGTTGTTTTTAATGTATTTATTAATTTAAGTATCATTATGATTACATACTAAAGGTTTTTTTTAAAGAATTACATTACTAAACAACCATTATAATATTATAACAGTACAAAAATTTTCTAAAAATAATTATTGTTAATATTAATAAAAAAAATTTATTAATGTAATTATTAAAAAATTTTTTTAGTTTTGTGAATGACAAACAAAAAATAGTTTTGTTAAAAGTGTGAAAGAGAATAAATAAAAATATTGAATGTGTGCTACATTGAGTCTTCTACTAGACATTATTAAAATGTTTTTTTTATAGTGTATAAAAAAAATTTCAAGATTAATATATAGTATTATATTAAAAGTTTTTTTCTTTTTTTTTTTTTTTAATTATAAATATTTACCTTATGAGATTTTAATTCCCAAACGAGTGATATAAAACAAACAAACAAACAAAAAAAAAAAAATATGAAAGGCTTTTAAAAATAATAAATATACTATAATACTATAAAATAAATAATACAATTTTATGATGCAAAAATCTTATGTTTTCCTGATCATTACCTATAATTCTTTTATGAATTTTTATCGAGATTGTATGAACTTTTTAAATAATCCATTATTTCATTGCACAAATTAAAATTTCTAAATCGGTTTTGACATTTATCTAACTTATCATAAAGTAATTTCGGTTGAACTTTTCCAACTGTTTTTAAAACATCTAAAATGAAATTTTAAAAATTTTTGATAAATTTTAAAGCTGCCATTAAAAGTATCGTTTAATTTCAAAAAAAAAAAAAAAAAATTTATTAGGGTCTTTTTTTTTTTTTTTTTTTAAAAAAATTTATAGTTTGTGTTTACGTTAAGGTTATGTGTGTGTGTGTGTATGTATTTTACAATTTGTGATGAATAGAATGCAATTTTTATAATTAAAAAATAAATTAAAAACTCACCCGTCATTTGTTTTTGAAATTTTTCATCAGGATCATCAAGATGTATAAGTAGAGTACCGTACAGAGAGTCTAAATGCGGTTCAAACGATTCCGGATTATAAGCAATAGGCAAATTGTTATACAATATTATTAAAAAATCCGTGGCAGAAACTCTTACATCGTTTGATACATCATCCAGCCTTTTGAGAATTACTAAACAAAACATTCTGTTGTTATTATAAAAATAAATTTCGTCAATCAAATAATAATTTTCTAACTTACGCGGATAACTTTGATTTACGTGATCTGGCGTTAATACATCATTTTTTGCTGCATTCAAAACGATATTTTGTAAAGCCTTTAGTGAAAAAAGTCTAGTTTTAACAGCACTGTCTTCAATGGAATTTAGTAAAAGTGGAAATAGTGTGGAAAAAATTTCCGAAAATAAATCTATATTTAAAAATTTTAAAAGGTTGTCTTTTGACGCACATTCTTCTGCGGCAACTTTATCGCCGAAAAGTTGATTAGTTTCATTTGGCTGTAATAAAGTTGCACATAAACAAGCGACAACAACAGTTCTTAGTGCTTCTGCAGCTCTGCCTGCATGCCAAACCAAATTCGGACAAATGACATCTTTAATACAAAAAAAAAAAAAAAAAATTATTAACTTTAATTAAAACAAGTTATAAAATTAATAATCAATTTAATTTAGTTAATTTTATTATAACCTTGTATGAATGAGACAATAAATTTTTCCAGAATCTTTTCATCAGCCGTTTTTAAGATTACATCTCTTTGCCTCAAAACTGAGCTCATTAAAATGAAAAGCTTTGATTTAACTATGGGATCACCATCGACTTTCATCGATATTTTTAATATTTCTATAATAGTTGGAAGAAAATTTCCCAACACTGGACCTAAAACAATAAATTTGATTTTAAAACATAAACTCACATGAATAATAATTTGTTTTTATTCAAATAATTTATTACCTGATTCTTCTAGGATAAGTTGAAAAATGAATCTTTCGCATGATACCGAAGTCCAATTTTCAACTGTTGGTTTAATTTTTTCCAATAATTCCTCTGTATAATCTTCATATAAATCTATGGTTGTTTTTTTACCTAGGCCTTCACACAATCTCTTAAACAAATCTGTAAGAATTAAAGTAATTTTAATGAATTTTAAACTTTACAAAATTTTTTATTCAATAAATAGTCCTTGAATATGAAAAAATTATTAAACCTACTTTGTGCATATTCTAACAAGGGTCCTTGAGAGAGAGCTTTTACTGTTGTTATAATTAAAAACAAATGATTTCCAATAATTTTACAATCTTCTTTAATTGCATTTAACAAAGCATCAACGCATTTCAACAACTGATATTGATAATCATTCTAAAAGAGTAATTTTCGAAATAAATAAAATTTGAAATTAATACCAAAGTTTTATCTTTAAATAAGGTTTGAAATATGTTTTAAAGTAGTAAACTCTTATTAAAAATTACCTTTCTAACTCTGCAAATACAGTCATCAGAAAGAAGTTCTCCTATCCTAATTATATGAGGTTTTAATAAACTTGGATCAGTACCTCTAATTAATGCAGCCAATACACATAAATGCCCTGTGGTACAAACATCTTGAACTATAGGAACAAGCAATTGCATGTAAGTGTCAGGTGAAACAAAGTAAGCTATATATTCAGCTGATTTCTCAACCTAAAATTATTTTTACTGGCATGTTTACAATTTAAAAAATTTTTTTAAATGCCTTTTAATCTGTATTATCCTTTTGTATTTCTTACGTTTTCAACAATTCTAGAGTCAGTTTGATTGCATACTTTGTACATTGTCAACAATAAGTTTTCAGTATGTTGAGTTATGTCAGATTCAGCATGAAGCACTAACCAACATAAAAGTTGTGCAGATTTTATTCTTATATCATTTTTCCAATCTTCAAGTTCTTTGGACAGAGCACCAGTGATTTGACAAAGATTCCTTTGCACTAATGTTCTGCAGCCTAAATTTGGCCTTAGAACTGCAAAAAAAAAAAAAAAAAAAATTAAATTAAAAAATTTTAATAATATTTAAATAAGTTCATATAACTTTACAGTTAGCTACTTACCATTTGGAGGGTAATGATCAGGTTTTTCATACATAAAATCCATTTTATCTTTTAAATCTTGTTCATTTTCTTGTTCGTACTGCAATCCTGCTTTATCCCAGATATCCCAAGCTTCTTTCCTTAATTCTGGAAGCTCATCACATAAAGAAGACAAAATTAAGGGTATCATTTTTGTAAAAAATGAATATCTGTCTGGAAGATTAATTAACCAATCACCGATAACTTTTGTAACAGCAGATCTAACATTAGGAGTCGAATCAAATAATCTTTCAGCCAAAGATCCAAAGACTTCTTGAGTAGGTAAATTTTTATTATTTCCCCATCTGACTACTTTACCGATTGCCTCAATAGCGGATACCCTCATTCTATAATGCTGATGTGAAAAACTAGCAAGAATGGGTTTTATAAGTTTTTGTCGATGATTATAAAAATAATATGGCAAAGAAACTGCCAAATTTGATGCACAAACACAACTTTCTTGTCTTATTTTTGGATAGCTGTCAACTAACATTTTGGAAAGAATTTGTACAATATCTTCTACATAAGCACTACAACATTCCTTATAAGTCAAAATAACGAAATTCATGAGAGAAACCATACGAAGTCTGATTTCTTCAGATTGTTCATGAACTTCCTTATCTCCAATTCTCCATAATAATATAGGAATTAATTCTCCAACAAATTTATCATTTGGTTTTAAATTTTTTACAAATTCTCTAATTAATGTAATACTTGAATCTCTAACTGCTTCGCTTTGATCGTACAATGATTTCCATAAACTCTTTTCAATTTCTTTAAAAATTTTGCTGAAAGTTTCTGAATCGTCAACTTTTGAGTTAATAAAAATGTCATCGTACAATTCGTCTAATGCTTGTCTTCTTTTTTTTCTATCTTCCGACTGTATATTTGAACAATGTCGATTAAGAATGATATATAATTCAGTTAAACTTGTCATCACTGAAAAACGAAAAATCCGGTTTTATTCAGAATAGACGTAATAATAAACTTTTTAAATGATAAGTTGCCGAGCAACATTGTAGTAGCAGAAAACTTTAACGTTCACAAAGACGGAAACAGTAACAACTTCCGGTCGTAATTACTCTTGAAAAGTGCGACACTTTTTAAATTTAATTTTTTTATTTAAGTAATGTATACATATTTTTAAATATAAATAAATATTTATAATCAATGTTTAAGAACTAAAAAAAAAAAGTAAAATATATTATTTAATTTTTTTTTAACGATAAAATTATGTATTTTATTTTATTTAACCTCTAATATAAATATCAAATTCTTACTTTTTTTTTAAATATCTTACCACCATGGTTAATTCAATATGAAATGCCTTTATAAAATATAACTAGAGCTCTAATTAAATGAATATTTAAAACTTTTTTTATTAAATAATTTAATAAAATTTTCACTTTTACTTTTGAATAATTTCTATACTCATAAAATATAAATGTAAATCAGACTGAAAAAAGATTTAGATTTATTTTCTTTGGATCTATAATTTGTTTAAAGCTTTTTCCATCACAGCTATTAATTTTTACTCGTTTGATTATTGATATTTGATAATGTGTTTTTATTTTCTGTTGATTTTTGAGATAATTGAGAACTATGAGAGGATGATCTAGAATGTAAAGAAGAAGAATCTGTAACAATCGGAGTTTGAACAATCGGTTGAGGCGGTGATTTAGTTCCTGGAGGTGAGGATGCTCCTTGTTCAAGTTGCATATGATATCGATAAATATTTTCCGTGCTTTCAACGACACCTTAAAATTATAAATTCATAATTTACGTGGTAGAAATCTAAGAAAATGTTTTTTTTTTTTTTACGTTTAACCCTACGTACCGGCTTGTAAATTTAAACTTCTTCCCTTGATTCCCGATTCCTTAGCCTTCGGAGACCACCAATTCACTATCGAACCAAAAACTGGAACTTGCCTAAGAATACCATCTTGCCACAGTCTTTCTTCATTTTCTTTACGTAAATCTACAGTAGCTGTTTCAATACCTAGAAAAACATTTATACCATTATATAGTTCATAAAGCAAGTAATAATAATTTACTCGAATGAAAAATTGATCCGATATTCTAACCTTTTTTGACAATTTCTACCATTTTTTCCAGATATTTTGATGATTCTTCAACATTTTTTCCAATGGATGTGACCAAGGATAATAATTCTTCTACATCGGTATCGGCTGTAACCATACCGAATCTGACGCAGACTAATCCATTGTTTCCTTCCCCTACAAAAAAAAATTTGTTTACTTAAAATATCTCTTTTTGTAATCTTCGAAAAAATTATAATAATAATTTTATAAATAATACCTATTGAAAAAGCAGCATCCGTGGCCCTCAATTTATTGACAATTTCTATATTTAATTTATTTAAATCTTGTTTACTTTGGTCAGAATCAGCATCGTTAATATTTTCAGGAACATAGCGAACCCCCCCTAAACCGGCCCACCCGTCCATTTCCACCAATTGCAATGAAGGATTATTTTCAACGCATTTTAAAAAAATAGGTTTCAATCGTACGGTTGCTGATAAAATATCCTAAAATGAATTAAAATTTTAATAAACTTGACAAGTGAAAATATAATTTATGTAATGTAATCATTAAATTTTTGGCAAAAAATTACCAGGTGTTGCTCCAAGCTACTGATAAATATTTCAATGTCATTCCCACAAATGGGAATAATTGCTTCCAAGGGACAAATTCTAAGAACTAAACCCGCGTTTTCTAATTCGCATATTTCAACATTGATTTGAGGAACATCCCTTTGTAAAATTTGGCCAAGCTGTAGTGTACAAAATATAATTATTTTATATATATTCTTAATAATAATATAGTTAAAAATGTAAAGTTTAAAATTACCCATGAATTTAATTTATTGCAGTATTGAGACACCACTGATGTTTTACAATAATCTGAATCTTGATTAGGAGGCACGAATTGAAATACAACGGTACTCGCAATTACTTCAAAGATTGTCACCTAAAATAAATATAAATAAGTAATTTTATTAAAACTCTTTTTTGAATAATGTGATGAAATTATTGAAAATTAATTTTGTTTTTACAGGTATAAAGTCCGATTTATTTGTATCCTCAAAATGAGAAGCAATTAAATTTCCCCCAGGTTTTTGACTCAATAACCTTAGACAAGGATATTTTATTAATTTTTCCCATAAAATTTCGCAAGCAATAAAAGATTCTTTGATTCTAAGTTTAATTTCATCCCTTCCAAGAGCCTGGAATTTTACAAATTTATTAAAATTAACTGTGTAGTGGAATGAAATCGAAAGATGTTAATGAGTTTTACCTGCAAAGCAAACCAAACTGGTAGGGCAACAAGGCATTTTTGCAATTGATCTGGTACAAGACCGGCAATCCTAGGAAGTGCTCCCTCCCACGTTGCTTCACCGGATTTCCTTTCTTTGGCCCGAATTTGTCGGTAAAAAGTTACGGTTGGCAATCCTGGAATGCCCAACCATGCTCCAAGTGCTAATGTAAGACTGTCACCAATTTTAAGGGCCTGATTTAATAAGTAAAAGTTTTTAAAAATAAAATTACTACAACAAAATAAGGCGGTTTTTAATTTTTTAAAATTATTTTTGTTTAATTTTTAAAAAAAGTTCATATTTAAATATGATAAAAGAACTTGTCCACATTTTTAGAGCAGAAAATTTAGTTTTTTCCCATAAAAACACACTCGACTACTTCATAAAAATTATTTATTTTTTTTTATGATTAACTTTAACTAAAGTTTTAAAAAATATAATTAAATTAGAAAAAGTCTAAAAAAATTATCTTTCTATGATTTATATACTAAACAAGTGATATGATTTTTTTTTTTTTTTTGACAATATTTATAAAAGGTAACGCGTTTAGAAAAAGTTTAAAAAATTTAAGTAACTCATATTTTTCTTCTAGCTGAAGCGATAAAAACACAATACATTAAGATAACCTTAAAAAATTAAAAACCTCAAAAAACAAAAAATCAATAAATTTTTTTTACACAAAAATTTGACAATTACATTCATCAAAGTCAAAGCAGCCAAATTATGTCCTTTAACGTGAAGCCAAATATCTTCTTTCTGACATAACTCTTGAAGACTAAATAAATCATCCATATGTCCTGTGATGGGTGTACCTGGAGCATTTATTAATAATATAAAGTTTGATTTAATCGAAATTTCAAATTTTTTAAAAATAAAATATTTACCTGCATCAGCGAATAACAGCAGTATAACTTTATTTGAATTTTTATCATCGTTTATTATTTTTTGAACATAATTTAAGTCTAGTTTTTGCAAAGGTTCAATATTGTTTGATGAAGTAAGTGAACGTACACAAGATAGAGGCAGTCCTAACTGACGACATATATATTGAACAAGGCCAAACGAAGAAAGTGTACTATAAATAACAGGAGGAGTGGAACACAAGGATTCAAAACCTAATTCTAAAAACTTGGGATACTTATAATGCAATAACATTCTAGTCAATCTAACTAAACCTTCTAACGGTTCATCATGATAGAAAGCTTGGCTATCATTAATTCTAAAACAAAAATAACAAAAAAAAAAAAAAAACACAATTAATTTTACCTCTAAATAAAAATTCCATTAAATGTGAAATAATTACCTGAATAAATTAGTAAGCCATTTAGTAGTCTCATTATGAATTTTATAATTCAGTTTGTTTACATGACTTCTTCCGAGTGTATTTGCAAAATATGCTACACTTTGAATAATAAATGTAAATTTTCCAACGTTAGATAATGGAGCCAAGCTAGCAACTGTGGGAGCATCATTTTCATCCAACTCATCATTTTCAAATATGAGTAAATCTTCTAAAAGATTCAAAATTTGTGGAACTTCTTTACTTTTTGCTTGCAAATATCCCTGATCAACTCCCCAACTACTGCCTTTTAGCCCAAGATCAGATTCTTTAAAATTTGGGTCTTTTTCATTTCCAATTTCCAAAGCAGAAACAGCTTCGACAGCTTTTTCAACAGCTCCCTCCAATCTTTCTATTATTTGAGAAGCTTGAATTTCTATTTCAGAAACAGGAGAAATGTTTTTCGGACTTTCAGCCTAATAAAAATAAATGTGTAACTAATTTTAGAACATGAATATTTTATTTTCATTTTTAAAAAATTTATATAAATAAAATTACAATTTATTTTTTTTTTTTTAAAATATATTTTGTAAATAAGTACGGAATTTTACAAAGAAACATGAAATAAATCAATTAATAAAAATGATATAAAACATTTATTGTTTTAATTGATGGCAACAAATATTTGGATTTGTGTAATAAAAGCGGTTTTTCATGAGTTTAAAGGCGTTTACAAATAGAAATATATTTTTTTGAGCATTGACAGTGACGTGTACGATGAGCTTTTATATAATTTATAATAAACTTACCATGATTTATTACTTAAAACCAAAAAAATATTCGATAAATTTACTAACAAAATATTTAGTATTGCTTTTTAGTAACATGATATTTTTAATTATGTACTTCGAAATGAAAAAATTTATTACTTAAGATTTAATAATAACCAAACTTAGTTTTTGGCTCTAAGTAAAAATTTTAAGTGTCAACACATTCGTCATAGAGTAATAAAACATTAAAAATTACAACTACTTTAGTTAAAAAAAAACTACCATTCAATTTTAAATAAACATTTTTTTTACTGATGGCATTGATGAATATTTGTTTATGTAACAATAAAATTTATCACAAAAAAATAAAAAGCAAAATTTTCATAAAACTAGCAGATAAAATTTATTTAACCCCCCCTATAAATAGGACAAGGCATTCAGTATTAAAATCTTTGCCATCAGTAATGATGGCGTTTTTATGAAATTCTGTTTTAGTTAAAAAAAAAAAAAAAAAAGGATTAAAAAAGTACTTAACCTTGTCAGTAAATAAAAAGCATTTATTAAAATACTTTTTTTATTAAAAAAAAAAAAAAGAAGTTTTTAAAAGTCACATAACAATGTATGATGTACAAAGAAATCTCAATTAAATTTAAAATAAAAAAACTTTTATGTTTATAAAATTTAGAATTTAAATTGAAATTATTTTTTATTTTTTTCAAAAATTAATTACTGAAAAATAAAGCAAGAGGTAAAGAAAAATAATGAGTTGTAAATAATATATATATAAATTTATAAATATTTATTTTATTTTAAATTATTAAATAATTTTCAACTAGTTGTACAATATGGTCCAACTCTTTATTTGTTTATAATTAAAAAAAAAAAAAAAAATTTTTTTTTTTTTTGAAGTCAAACAAAGCTACAAAACAGGCTAAAAATAAATAATAGAAAGCTCCGCGTGAATTATATATATATATATTTCTTATATATTTTAATAAATAAATTAATTTTATTGATTATTTAAGATTTACTTTTTAAAAATGTTTACAAATGATTATTTCCTTTTATAAATAAACAAAATGAAAAGTTTATTATAAAATAATATTTTTTTGGTTTTTATTTACCCCCAATAAATAAATTAAAAATGTTTTTTTTTTTTTTTCATTTAAAAAAAAAAAAAAGTTTTAATAATTAAATTAGAAATGTTTTCAATTAAATTTTTACTTTGAAAAAAAAAAAAAAAAAAATTGATCACAATTATTTTTAATTTGTTCTCAGGCTTTCAGAAAAAACAAAATGACGACCAGACAACATTTTTTTTTTTTTAAATAAATTTATTTATTTATTTTTTTACTTAGAAGACATCACCCTGAGATATTATTTATACAATTAAATTTTTATAAGAAAAAAATTTTTTTAAAAACATTTTTTTTAGTTTAAGTTGATGTTTGAAAAACAGCTAGAACAATTTTTTTTTTTAATTGATAAATATATATAATTAAAGAAAAGTACTTAAGTAAGTTTTAAATTTTTTAAAAATCTAATTAAACAATATAAACAATTTTATTAAATTAACAAATAAATAAATAAATAAATAAATGTTATATATTGTAATAGAATTATACAGACGAATGAAATTAAACAATTATTATTATTA